AAAGACACCACTAAAAAAGAAAATTATAGACCAGTATTTCTCATGAACATAGAAGCAAAATTCTCAACAAAATTCTAGCCAATAGACTCCAACATATCAAAAAAATAATACACAGAATCCAGTGGAATTCATACCAGGTATGCAAAGATGGTTCAACATTAGAAAAACAATCAACATAATCCACCACATAAATTAAAAAAAAGGAAAAGAACCACATGATCATATCAACTGAGCAGAAAAGACATTTAACAAAATCCAACACCCATTCCTGATAAAAACGCTGAACAAAATAGGAATAGAAGGGAAATTCCTCAACATAATTAAGGGCATATATACAAAACCAACAGCCAACATTATTCTCAAAGGGGAGAGACTGAAAGCATTCCCTTTATGAACGGGTACCAGTCGAGGATGCCCTTTATCACCACTTCTATTCCATAATGTATTGGTAGTCCTTGCCAGAGCAATAAGGCAAGAAAGGAAAATAAATGGCATTCAAATTGGCAAAGAAGGACTAAAACTATCTCTATTTGCAGATAATATGATCTATATAGGAGAAAATCCCAAAGGCACAGTAAGAAAATTACTAGAACCAATTGATAGTTTCAACAAAGTGGCAAGGTACAAAATTAACATACAAAAATCAGTTAGATTCCTATATGCTAATGAAGAAAACTCTAAAAAGGAAACTAGAAAAGCTATATCATTTACAATTATCATCCAAATATGAAGTACTTAGGAATAAATCTAACCAGAATTATAAAAGATCTATACAAAGAAAAGTACAAAACACTATTACAAGAACCCAAGGGGGAAAGGGAAACTTTTCTTTGTGGGGCATTGAGTTTATGCTAATGGTGGGGGAATATTTTGGAAACATATAGCAATAATGATGGCACAACATGAAAAATGTCATCAATGTCCATGAGCTGTAAATGTGGAAGTTGTTATGCCGGTGAGTATCTTGTTGTGTATATTTTCATCACAATAAAAATAAAAATAAACTATTGTAAGAACCCAAAAGAGACCTATAAAAATGAGAGACTATACCACGCTCATAGATAGGTAGACTTATGTCATGAAATGTCAGTGCTTCCCAAGTGATCTACAGATAATGTAATCCCAATTCAGATTCCATCATCTCTCTTTAAAGAGATGGTAAAACTAATCACCAGCTTTATGTGGAAAGGAAAGAGACCCTGGATAAGTAAAGCACTACTGAAAAAGAGCAAAGAAAGAGGCCCTACACTCCCTGATCTCAAAATCTACTATACAACATGGTAGTCAAAACAGCCTGGTACTGGGGAAATGACAGACACACAGACCACTGGAATGGAATTGAGAACTCATAAATAAATCCATCCACCTATGGACAGCTGATCTTTGAAAAGGGTCCAAAACTCATTAAATAGGGAAGATATGGTCTCTTTAATAAACGGTGCTGGCAAAACTAGATATACATTTGTAGGAAAATGAAATAGGGCCCATATTTCACACCATATACAAAAACGAACTCAAGCTGTATCAAAGACCTGAATGCGAAACCTAAAACCATAAAGATCATCAAAGAAAATATAGGGATAAACTTAGGGGCCTTTATTCAGGGCATAAATATACTATCAACTATAACTAAAAGTACACAAATACCAGAAGACAAAAATATTTTAATCTCAGATGGGCTCCCCCTTGCCACTCAGCTTTCTTTGGGGTCACCAACAATCCCTATGGTTAGTTAGAATGTATTAAATAAATTCATATCAGGATATTAGCCAAAGCAAAAATATTAGGAATGGAAAATACACAAAGCAAAGCAAAAAAATTACAAATGGAAATTTGCTACCAAAAATATATTCATAATATATTCCAAAATCACACACACACAATTACCCATCCTCCATCCGTAACTGGTGTTGTGAGCCAAAATTTTACTATATCCTGAAAAAATAAACCAACTATTTGCATATTATTAGACCTAGGGCTTAAATGTACATTTCACAGTTTACAAAGTACTTTCACATTTATTAGCCTAACCAATTCTCACAATAACCCCATCATAAAGGTATAATTTGGACCATTTTATATGAGAGCAATGTAAGGCTCAAAGGTGTGACATGACCTGCTTGAAGCCACACATGAACTAAACTGTATCACCAGAACTGGGAAGCAGATATCCTGCCCCAAGAACATTGCACTTCATTGTACAAGCTGCCCTTCTACCCAGCTCCTTGATTATCATCCTTCTGGAGAAAAAAATGATAGAAGGTGTTGAGTGGAATCTTATATATTTCATCCTATTCTCCTTTGGCTACAACACAGCCATGACTAGTTCAGAGTCTCCCCTGCTTTTCCCTCTCAGTTATGACATGCCATGGTAAAAGCCTTCAAGAATCTAAGCCTAAAACAGATCAAGATGAGCAGGTCCAGTGAAAATCCATGTGACATCTCAAATCCTACTTATATCATTCTAAGCCTTACATTCCTACTCCTTGAGAAACTCTAACTTCTCCCATTCCTACTGACAAGTTTTAATATGTTATAGTATGTGTTTGTGTGTTTGGTGCTAGTTCCCTGGAAGCAAAATTTGTGCAGTGGCACAAAAACAAAGTCAATTTCAGTGATTTTCTTTTAAGTCAGAAAAAAAAAAAAACCATGTCTGCATGATGATTGTATGTGCAGGTCAAAGTATCTGAATATACCTGTCTACATACCAGCAGTTAATGAGTGAAATATTTATTACACATTTAGCAACAAATTTAATCAGACCTGGCAACTGGATAAGAACAAACTACTTAAATGCCTAAACCAAAAAACCAAACTCACTGCCATCAAGTTGATTCTGACTCATAGCGACCCTCATTGGGTTTCCAAGGTTGTGAATCTTTACAGAAATAGATTGCCCCATCTTCCTTCCACAAAGCGCCTGGTGGGTTTGGAATTGCCAACCTTCCAGTTACCAGTCTAATGCCTTAGGCACTGTGCCACCAAAGCTCCTCACTTAAATGCCTGTAACAACTAAATTTAAAAACAAAAGACTAAACTACCTAACAGCTGGTAATCTAAAAGACTAGCATTTCAAACACTGAAATTACTCTTATTTGTTTTTCTTCTGATAAAACAGAGCTGACAAACAGAAGACTCTACAAAAATGAAGTTGTTTTTCAAACATTAGAGTGGCTTTCATGATCTGTGATTTGGTTTCATTTTAAAGCAACTATGATCGTGGTTAGGAGCTCTGGTAGCATAGTGCCTAAGGCACTTGACTGCTAACCAGAAGGCTGGTGGTTCAAACCCACCAGCCACTCCTCGGAAGGAAGATG